CTTCTTTTCATTTTTCCCCAAAAGCCCTAAATTTTCGAAATCACTCCCATCTTTTAAAAATTTTGAAAACCATTTCAATACTATTGATGCCATTTAATTGCAGCAAGAAATCGGAATTTCTTACCTTAAAATCGAAGAGAAGAAAACAACCGAAAGGAGAGATGCACTCAAACACCGAAAGCTAACCAAGGTACTTTGATTATGGAAGAGATTTAGTGGGTATTCAAATGAGATGTATATTTCTTTGATGAGTGGTGATCTAGCTGCTCCATGACCGTGGTTAAATAGGGGGAATTTAAAGTGATTTTGGGATTTCTTTAAAAAATGGGAGTTGATGTGGAAGGAGATGAAGAATGGAGGTGGTGATGTTGCTACGGTGGAGAGAGGAGAAGGAGACAAGTAGGGGGTTTAGGTGTTGGAAGAATAAACAAGAAGAGTGGCTTTTAATCCTACTAAGAAAGTGGGTTTAGGCAAAATGATTAGCATTTGCCATGTGGAAAGGCATGCAAATTAATTACTAATTTATTTATTGAAAAAGAATCACAACTTGCATTCACACACCACACACACATTCGGTCATATATATATATATATATATGCTCAAATATATATATAATGCATGTAATAATATGTATATGTGTATATCTATATGCATGCATGTATGTACGTATGTATATATCATACCATAGTACTATATTTATAATTCACATAAGTTACCACATTTTGAAAATAATTTACCAGATAATCAAGACATGTAATTATTCACATAAGTCATGTAATTCACGAAATTCCTAGAATTTCAATTTATGGAATTGATACTAAATCACATAATTCACACATATATATCTACTCACAAATTTCACAAAATAAATATCATGAAATGATTTAAATAACGCATGCAATTATTCACGTAAGTCACGTAATATCATGTAATAATATTACCTAAGGATTCTCGAGTTAGGAATATTAGTCTCGGGTTTTAGGGTTTTCGGTTTTTGGGAAAGGTGGGGTGTTACAATCTTCCCCCCCTTAAAGAAATTTTGTCCCCAAAATTGTTACCTGAACAATTCGGGGTATCGTTCGCGCATTTCTTCTTCTCGTTCCCACGTGGTTTCTTCGGGTGCATGGTTTTGCCAAAGGATTTTAACTAAGTTTAGGGATCGGTTTCGGAGGGTTTTGGTTTTGAAATCAAATATTTGGGAAGGCTTCTCTTCGTTGGAAAGGTTAGGGTTTAGTTCGATTGGTTCGGTTTTTAACACATGGCCCGGGCTGCGAATGTACTTTCGTAGCATGGAAACGTGGAACACATTGTGAAAGTTGGATAAGGTGGGTGGTAAGGCTAGTGGGTAGGCTCGAGTACCAACTTTGTCGAGAATTTCGAACGGGCCAATAAAGCGCGGTGCTAAGTTTCCCTTTTTCCCAAATCGCATAATTCCTTTGAAAGGCGCCACTTTTAAGAATACGGAGTCTCCGACTTCGAATTCGAGATCTCTCCTTCTAGTGTTGGCATAGCTTTTTTACCGATCTTGGGCGATTCACATTTTCTCTCGAATATTTTTGATGATATCGATGGTTTGTTGGACGAGGTTGGGGCCGAGGAATTTTCTTTCGCCAATTTCGTCCCAATGGAGAGGGGACCTACACTTGCGGCCGTAAACGGCTTCGTAGGGTGCCATTCCAATTGGCGAGTGAAAGCTGTTGTTGTACGCGAATTCGATTAGTGGGAGGCGGGATTCCCAATTTCCTCCAAAGTCGAGAATACAAGCGGGGAGAAGATCTTCTAGGGTTTTGATCGTTCGTTCGGATTGGCCATCGGTTTGGGGGTGATAGGCGGTGCTGAAGTTTAATCGCGTTCCGAGGGTTTCGTGCAAACTTTTCCAGAATTTTGACGTAAATCGAGGGTCTCGGTCGGAAATAATGGTGGCGGGGACGCCGTGAAGTCGGACTATCTCACGGACGTATGGTTGGGCTAGTTTCTCTAAACTGAACGTCATTCGGATCGGAAGAAAGTGAGCCGTTTTGGTGAGTCGGTCGACGATCACCCAAATGGCGTCGGATCTCCTTTGGGTCTTCGGAAATCCTTGTACCAAGTCGATCGTGACGGCTTCCCATTTCCACTCCGGAATTAGGTTCGATTGAAGTAGGCCTCCGGGTCTTTGATGTTCCGCTTTGACTTGTTGGCACACTAGGCATTCGGCGACGAATCGGGCCACGTCTTTCTTCATTCCAGGCCACCAGTACAATTTTTTGAGATCTTGGTACATTTTGGTTTCTCCGGGATGGCAAGTGTACGTTGTTTGGTGAGCTTCGGTTAAGATTAATTGGCGGACATTGGGATCATCGGGGACGTAAATGCGATTTTGGAATCGGACGAGACCTTCTTCGGAAATTCGGAAGTTGGGATTGGATTCGAGATTATTGCGGATTTTGATAATTTGCGGATCGTTTTGTTGGGCTGATTTGATCGATTCTCCCAAGTTAGGTTGGACTATGAGGGCGTTGATCGATTTGCGGCTAAGTGTGTCGGCGACCACATTAGCTTTGCCGGGGTGGTAAAGTATCTCGCAGTCGTAATCTTTGACTAGTTCGAACCATCTCCGTTGCCTCATATTTAGGTCTTTTTGAGTATTTCAGACTCTTGTGATCGGTGTAGATGAGAATGTCGTCGATGAAGAGAATTACGAATTGGTCCAAGTACTGATGAAAGACTCGGTTCATGAAAACTGCGGGGGCGTTAGTTAGACCGAAGGGCATGACGACGAATTCATAGTGGCCATGTCGGGTTCTGAAAGCTGGTTTAGGAATATCGGATTCGTTGATTTTGAGTTGGTGGTGACCGGATTGGAGATCGATTTTAGAGAAGACTGATGAGCCTTGGAGTTGGTCGAAAAGATCATCGATTTCAGGAAGAGGATATTTATTCTTGATTGTGATTTTGTTGAGTTCACGGTAATCGATACAAAGGCAAAGATATCCGTCTTTCTTTTTGACGAAGAGAACCGGTGCGCCCTACGGGGAATGGCTTGGTCGAACATAACTTTTGTCAAGCAATTCTTGAATTTGGTTCTTCAACTCTCTTAATTCCATCGGGGCCATATGGTACGGAGCTTTGGAAATTGGTGTAGCTCCAGGGATAAGATTGATTTTGAACTCAATTTCTCGGTCGGGTGGAAGTCCAGGAATGTCGTCGGAAAATACATCGGGGAATTCTTGCACTGCGGAAATGTCGGACATTTGGGTTTTGGCATCGGGTTCGGACTTTAGAATATCCACTAAGTAGCCGGAATGACCCTTGTGAATAAGTTTGACTGTTTTGATTGCAGAATTGATTGGAATCGAGGTTTTGGGTTGACTTCGGAATTTTAAGGTTTTGCCGTTTGAAAAAAAAAAAAAAAAAAAAAAACCATTTTTGAGGCACAGTCAATTTGGGCTTTGAATTTGGTAAGAGGATTAAATCGAAATTCATAGGTTGAGTGTGAACTCGGATCGGACAATTAGGTATTACTAGGTTTGAGCACATTTCTTCGCCGGAGGGAATGAGAATTTGGTATTCATGACTTAATTGATTGCTGTCGTAGAGGGATCCTGCTCAATTTGTTCTTGAGTCATGGCAAATACTTGGCCGGGGACGGTGTTCGGAGCATTCGGACAATCTCGTGCCTTGTGTCCGGGCTTTTGGCATCGGAAACAGTTACCCGTTCCATAGGTGCAGACTCCAAAGTGTCCTTTCCCACATTTCGGACATATTGGTTTCGACGGTGGTGGCGGTGGTAGTGGTCCGGTTGGCTGGCGAACGGGCTGAATTTCTTTCCCTCGAATTGGACGGTTGCCAAAGTTCCCCTTTTTCCATGGGTGTTGAGTAACTCCTTGAGGTCGGCGGCTGTTTTGAATGTCTTGTTCGTCCTGGGCAGCCATGAGGGCTTTGTCTACGAGTTGTCGGAAAGTCGAGGCGTCGGACATACGAATGTCTCTGCGGATCTCGGGTTGGAGGCCACGAATGAAATGGTTCTTCTTCTCCTCGGCATCTCGAGCGATGAATGGAGCGTAGAGGCAGCCACGTTCGAAACGACGGATGTATTCAATCATTGGTAAGTCGCCTTGGCGGAGTTCGAGGAATTCTTTGAGTTTGTGGGCTCGCACATCTTTCGAGAAATACTTTTCGAAGAATTGGACTTTGAAATCAGTCCACGGCAAAGTTTCGAGGTTCGTTCCTTCCTTGATTCCTTCCCACCAGTGACGAGCTTCGTTTCGAAGTAGGAATATGGCACAGTGTACACGGTCACGGTCGGTCATTTGCATGTAGTCGTAGATGACTTCGAGAGATTTGATCCACTCTTCGGCTATGGCGGGATCGGTTCCACCGTGGAATTCGGACGGGTTCATTCGGAGGAATCGTTCGTATATGGCTTGGGGTGCGTTATTTTGAGGCGGGGCTTGGTTATGTTGGAGAAGTTGTTCGATTTGGCGTTGGTGGTTTTGGGCTTGTTCACGGATTAAGTTCGAAAGATCGTTAATGGTTTGATTGGGGTCTTGTGGTTCATCGGAAGGAGTGCTCGAGTTTCCTCGGGTTATACGTCTCGCCATTATTTCTATATTAATTTACAACTAATAAGTAAAGCAAATAAAACACACAGAGTAATAAAATTCACACAGTTAACGAATGGGCCGAGCTTCGCGTCTCGAGTAGTCTTTAAACCCGTGAAGTTCGTACGAGTATCTATGAACCATGCTCTGATACCACCCTGTAGCACCCCCCTTCTTATTGGGCGATAAATCGAACCGGTTTATCGGAATATTCATTTATCTAGCGGAAGCAAAAAGGATCTCTTTGCAATTTTTTTTAAAACATTGGAATTGGACTAAAATGAAATTATTAAAAATCTCTTCCTTAAGACATTAAAAACATTTTGTGATTTTCGAAAACTTTCTTATGAGGATTTTCATTCGAGTGCTACACTATCAACTATCGATTTTGGTTCGAAAAGAAATCAGAGTTCTGAAAAGGTATTTTGGTGAATAATTTGAAAACCACTAGTGAGACGTGAAAACAACAAGTTTACTAAAAGGATTATTTTGTAATAAAAGTCAAGTACGATCCATACCGGATTCGAGTTCGAAAGATCCGAAAAGGGAAATACTTAAATTTAATATTACATCACCAAAAACCAAAAGGGAAATACTTAAATTTAATATTACATCACCAAAAACCAAAATACTTTAGCATCGTTCATAGGTCCTCGTACAACTTCCAAAAAAAATCCCGGGCAAGACCTCGATCCGCTACTCGATCCATTCCGGTGGAGGGTTACTAACACTATTACCTGCAATTAAAAGGCATCTATATGAGCTATAAAGCTCAGTAAGAAATCCAATGAAATATCGAACTTTGAAAATACGTTATATATAATATATAATATATATAGTTATCCTTACTCACGTTCCAAACAACACAAGGCGAACGATTAATCACATAATTCACAAAAACACATTATTCACACATCAACACGTACTTATGCAAAATGACTAAAATGCACTTTTTATGAAAATCGTGTAAAAACATTTTTCGTTTATCGGATCCGTGAAAGATTAATTTATGTGCCTAGGAATAAACTATAAAGCGTTTCGAGCCCGTTCTAATTAAACCACGTATTTCATCCTAGTTGGATACCGGCCCACCGTATCCCGTTTATTCACTAAGCACTAACTTCTGTGCCTAGCAATAAACTATAAAGCGTTTCGAGCCCGTTCTATTGTGGAATCAAACCACGTATTTCATTCTAGTCGGATACCGGCCCACCGTATCCCGTTTATTCACTAAGCATTCCATTAATCTTTCAATTTTCAAAATAATGAAATGCAATTTTTCGAAATCATGCTTATGACCCACACATAACATCACAAACATCAATCAAGTGCCACAAAATCACACAAATATCACAATTTACCACATATTTATAATTTGGGGCAAAACCCCCAAATTCACACACAATCACACACGGCACTCACACATACACATTCAGCACATACACACACACTTACTCAGCACACACACATGCAGCCAACACATTAAAACATCACCAATTAATATTCAAACCATGCTTGTAAAGCAAGCACCCCTTTTTCACCTTTCATTTAATAAACTTATTACCACATCTAGGTAATAATCCATTTCAATAAATTCTCACAGCAATTAATCCACATCCAAGCAGCAATTAAAAGTACAACATCTCAAATCTCATCATTCATAGCCATTAAATCAAAGACATGAAAATAAAAGCACAAAACATAATAAATGACATGCAAATGTCCTAATTTCGAAATAATAGCAAACTAATTCCAAACATTCCCAAATTAAATCCTAGAACTCCTAACTGACCCAAATTTCAGATTCTGAAATTATTTTAAATTTTCACAAAGTTTCGAATTTTCTTGAAATTAAAAACTCAAAAATTCCATTTTTCTTTTAAAAATCAAAACCTCTAATATAACTTCGATTACTTTGAAAACTTTTATAAAGAAAACTCTTCCCCATTTAATACTTGCTGGAAAAACAGATTTAAACTTTAGAAATGAGAGATTTTTCGGAAATTGCAGTTTTTACCCCAAAGTTTCAAGATTTACACATGCAACCACACTAGAAGTTCAAAATCCATTTTTTCATGAAAACCCCTAACCATCTGAGATTTTACTTTGAAAAATGCAGAAAACAAAGTTAAAAAATTACTTTATGCAGAAATTTCGAAAATTACATATTTTACCCCAAAATCTCTAGATCTATACATGCAAGACCACTAGAAGTTCAAAAATCACTCTTTTCTTACAAAACTTCTTAAATCCGAATTTTTTGTTCAATAAATGCTGGAAAACAATTTTGAAAACACATTTAAGACTGACTTCTCAAAAATTACAGATTTGACCCAAAACTTTTGAAGATCTACACATGCAATCACATAAAAGTTCAAAAATTCATTTTTCTTGAAACCCTTTTTGAAATCCGAAATTTTCAATGCTTTTGGCCAATAAAACTTGCATCTACACACTACCAACATAGATGTTGCATGCAAGTACAAGAAATTAACAAGAAACACTTCTTTTCCATTTTTCCCCAAAAAGCCCTAAATTTTCGAAATCACTCCCAATCTTTTAAAAATTTTGAAACCATTTCAATACTATTGATGCCATTTAATTGCAGCAAGAAATCGGAATCTCGCCTCGCCCGA